TGATACTATACACCATTCTTTTCATGTTTAAAGAAGAAAATATTCATTTTAAACCAATTATTTGAAATTATTTCCCATAATGCTACACTATAATCACAGGAACAGTATCTACCAAAGTCAAGAGTCCACATTAGTGGCTTCTTTCTCCTAAAAGTATCTCTGAATATGCATAATGTAAAAAAGGAAAAACAATTACTCCTAAAAGAATATATAGATAAAGCATATGCTACTGTTTCAATGAATCAGAGATATAGTGGAGAAACGCAAATCAAATTTAAGTTTGATGGAATGCTTATAAGACTGGGAACAGGGACTGTACTTTATTATCAATGGAAAGAATAAAGTGCTCTTTATGAAAAGAAACTACTGCCTTTTTAAAAACTTATCATCTAGTAAGATTCCTACTGTTCAGCTGCTTTCACAATGATTTGAAAATGCTTCCTACTTGAATAAGAGAGTCAAGATTCCATCAAACGCAATGACAAAGTCTTACAATGGGATCTGGTCTATACGTAAACCCCAAAAATCTTTAATTCCAAAATACCAGATAATAAGTATATGAGAATAACTCAAAAGTATTGGTACTAAGGTTCCAGTTTATACATGTATGAATTTATTCAAAACAAAATAGGTTTCAACATGTCTCTGCAATCAAGTTCTCTCAGTAATCTACTTATATTAGTCTCTTTAAGGTGCCTTCAAAAGCAAGGCAGAACCAAAATACTGGCTTCCAAGGTGATATGTTGGGCCAGTTCAATTCAAAGTCGAGAGGTCAGCTCAGAAGGCTATGGGGATTATTTATTAGGCTTTCAAAGGCATACTTCTGATAGATATTCTTGAAAGACACAGAAAGATCACGGGGGCTCATTAGGACAAAATTTTAAGAGAACTGAAAACTGCATTGATAAGGAAAAGGCCAGTAAATTTTTACCCCCACTAAGACAAGGGACCTGCTCATGCTTTGAGTGTAACAAGAGCTGTCCTATGAGAATTTCAGTAGGAAACCTTACTAGATCCACCTTACAGCTCCATTCTTGCTGATTTAGACTTCTTTTTGTTCTCCAAACTCAAAAAACATTGAACGAACACAACTGTGGTCCTTTTATGGATGCCAAACTGCTGTGTTGGTATCATGTAAATCAGAAGCACAGAAGTCTTTAGTAGAGGTTTAGATCTGGAAACATTTAAAAAATGTATAGACCTAGACAGAGGCTAGGTCAAGGAACAACAGCTTTACATTTTAATTATTTTTGTTTAATAAAGATTTCTATGATTTTGTAGCAATACTTTTTGACTTGCCTCATATACCAGGACTGCCTTAGTCATGTCTGAAGAAGCAGAACTGAAACAGACCCAAATTCTTTAAATTTGGGTGAATGGCACACACAAGCCAAATGGGAAAAACTGTAAGTTGAAGCCCTGATAGAAATCTAATATTCTTCTTAGGAAACAAGAAAACCAATTATCTTGTTTTTCTGATTTTGAGCAGTCAGAAACAAGGGTGCTCCACTCAAAGATGAAGCTTTAGTGACTGCCACTCTCCACAGTCCTGACAATAATCCAATCTGATGCATTTGACTTCTGAAAGGACTCACTCTGCCTTTTTCAAAGTCTCTCATTCTGGGTCCTCAATCCATAACTGTTTTCTGTTTATCATTTCAGTTAAATTCTGAGTCAGAGAAAACTTGTCACAAATATTGCAAGGAAGTAAAAATACCTATGAAGAAATTCTTAAGAAATGATAAAAACCGAATATGTAATCTTCTTAATCTTAAAATATTCAGGAAGCTTTAAAATATTATTCAACTTGGCAGCATACCCAATACATATATTCATTCATTACTTTTTTCTAAATACTTATGTAGATTTTTATGAGAAAATATCTTCCGTAACACCATGTAATAGTCATATACTTAAACATTCACATCAGAATAATGAAGAATATTAAGAGGCAATTTGTTGCTGTTGTTGTTGTTAGGTGTCATCAAGTCAGTACTGACTCATAGCGACCCTATGTACAACAGAACGAAACACAGCCCGGTCCTGGGCCAACCTCACTACTATTGCCACACTCGAGACCACTGATGCTGCCACTTTGCCAATCCATCTCACTGGGGGTCTTCCTCGTTTTCTCTGACCCTACACCTTACCAAACATGATATCATTCTCCAGCAATTGATCTCTCCTAACAATGTCTCTAATATGAGAGATGAAGTTTGGCCATCCTGGCTTCTAAGCAGCACCCTGGCTGCACTTCATCCAACACAGATCTGTTGGTTCTTTTGGCACTTTCAATATTCTCCTGCAACACCATAATTCAAAAGCATCAATTCGTCTATGGTCTTCCTTATTCACTGTCCAGCTTTCGCATGCATATGAGGTTATTGAAAATATCATAACTTGGGTCAGGTGCACCTTAGTCCTCAAGCTGACATCTTTGCTCTTCAACACTTTAAAAAAGTCTTATGCAGCAGATTTGCCTAATGCAATACGTCATTTGATTTCTTGACTGCTGCTTCCATGAGTGTCAATAGCTGATCGAAGAAGAATGAAGTCCTTGACAACTTCAATCTTTTCTCCATTGAGAAGAATGTTGTTTATTGGTCCAGTGGTGAGGATTTTTGCTTTCTTGCCATTGAGATGTAATCTATACCGAAGGCTGTGCTCTTTGTTCTTCATCAGCAAATGTTTTAAGTCCTCTTCACTTTTAGCAAGCAAGGTTGTATCATCTGTATATTGCAGGTTGTAACAAGTCTTCGTCCAATCTTGATGCCACGTTTTCCTTCATAGAACCCAGCTTCTCAGATTATTTGCTCAGCATACAGGTTGAATAAGTATGGTGAAAGCATACAACATTGTTGCACACGTTTCTTAATTTTAAACCATTCAGTGTTCCCATGTTCTGTTCGAATAACTGCCTCTTGGTCCTTGTAAAAGATTCCTCATGAGCACAATTATGTGTTCCGGAATACTCATACTTTGCAACGTTGTCCATAGTTTGTCATGATCCACTCGCAAGCCTTTACGTATTCAATAAAGCACAAGTACATATCTTTCTGGTATTCTCTGCTTTCAGGCAAGATCCATTGGACATCAGCAACGATATCCCTCGTTCCACGTCCTCTTCTGAATCCATAGCAAGATTACATTAAAAGAAAGTAGTAACTACTTGGTTATACGAGAATTTCTAAACAACCTTTTCAGAAGTAAATAGTGTTTAACGACTAAAGAAAACATTCTGTGGGTATATTTTCAAATATATACAGAGATGTAATGTGAGAAAAATGTTGTTTTATGAATATTACTTTAAATGGGTAAAGAAAAAGCAAGAAAATATTTTTCAAAAAAATAAAAACACCTTAAACACAGGTTCACAGGGGAACAAAATGACTTTTGTTAAAATTTGGTGACGGAGGTTTTTGTTGCTGCTGTTGTAAAGAGTATCATAAAGGTTTGCACTAAGCAGACACTAATATAAAAAGGAGACCCCTGTGTTTGTTAAAAGCATTACCTACTTCTTGGTTACAGGGGCAGTATTCAGAAAAATAAGACTTTTTCAGAGTGGGAGAATGAAGTTTATGCTTGAAATGACCCACAGGTCAAGTTCAAGCTCAACTTAGAAACCTACCAAATGGTACTTGACAACATTTAATTTTAAGTCTTTTCTCAAATGGAAAGGAGACTTCAGATATTACTTCCCTGATTGGCTCAGCCCTTTGTTGTCTGTGTGAACTGGGTAAAGCTCTTTAATGGAGCATTTAAGGAGCCGTGATGGTGCAACTGTTAAGCAGTCTGAAGCCATCAACAAGTTCCATGGAAGAAAAGACTCGGCAGTCTGTTCCTTGTAAAGATTACAACATCGGAAACCTATGGAGCAATTCTACTCTGTCATACTGGGTTCCTATGAATCCGAATAGCCTCAAAGACATATAAACAAAAGTAACAGGTAGTATTTAATCCTGTCACATTCTTTTATCGAACCAGAGTAGTTTTCTTACTTGGTCTTTAACTTTAGAATCTTATGACAGATAAAGGGAGCCAAACTTTACACAGGCAAATTCACAAGGTTTCAGTTTCTCTCTTTAATGTACCCTCATATGTAAAGCAGAGGTATTTATTTAACTTACAGAGACAAATGAGAAAAGGTTACTGGAAGTCCTCTGTAAATGGCAAGCTGTGAGATAAATAACCCAATCCTATTCAAGTTCTACCAAGTTCAGCTACATCAGCGTGTGGCGAAGTGGGATAAAACACGGGACCACAAATTCGGTTTGAACCACAAGGTTGGTAGTCAAAATTCACCAGCTGCTCCTTGGAAACGCTGTAAGAGTTGCTAAGAGTTGGCACTTAAAAACAACAACAACAAGGCACATTATTTCTCTATCTCAGTTTTCCTTATCTATAAAGTAACTTTAAACTTCAACTTTTTATTTTTACACAATTGCAATGATTTGGTCAATAAACTGAAAATGCACACTTCCTGACTGACTGTCAAGTATTATACCAGCACACAGATCATTTATATAACATTAAAGTCACAGAAATCTGAACTAAAAAGCCTACTACTTTTCCCAATTATTTCTTGGCTCCTGAGAACCAAGTGAAAGAAAGAAAAACAAACATTTCCATAAGCACAGTTTAAATGAATATAGCTAGATAGAAATACTATATCTAGACTTTTGATGATTATTTACATTTTATTTTAAAGAATCATAAAAAAACAAAATAAAAACCCCAGAAATGTCTTTTCAGGTACCATTATAAGTAACTGAGGAGGAACCTAGTGGTGCAATGCTTATGCACTCAGTTACTATTAAACAGGTTGAACCCACAGGAGAAAGATGTCGGAGTCTACTTCCATAAAGACAGCAATCTTAAACACCCTAAGGTTCAGTTCTACTGTCTTATTGGGTCACTAAGAGTTGGAATTGACTTAATGACATTGGATTACAGAATCATAAAATATATATATATATGCAAATTTTTTTTTTCCCACATACCAGTATAAATAATTAGCCAGTGTTGAGTTTTTGCAGGCTCTTGATATCAAGAAGGTACAGAGATCTTGCTGAAATAATAAAAAGAAATACACATTGTTATATTACTATTGGCTATTAACAGGGGGAAATAGGATCATCTATAATTGCCTATGGAGTACTGGTATGGTGATATAGGCTAAGTACTGGACAGAAAAGTTAGCTTAAACCACAAGGCCAGTTGTTTACATTCATCAACTGCTCCTCAGATAGTCTATACAGTGTTATTATGAGTCAGAATATTGGAGTCCTGCTGTTGAGCTGCAGAATAATGTGCTGATCTGCAAGGATGTTTTGAATTCTAAGACCAGCGGTTCAGACTCACCAGCCACTCCTCGGAAACCCTAAAAGGGTTGTTAGGAGTCAGAACTAACTTTGATAGCACGTAACAGCAGCAATGAGTTAGACCTGGCTCAACGGCACTTAGTAACAGCAGCAGCAGCAGCCTATCACCTTTCAGCTCATGTTTTATGACACAGGTCAGATTTTCATCCATCCAACCACCAGATATTCTCTCTCAACAAGGCAGTATGTGAAAAGCTAAGGATGTTAGACTTCAGGAGTTCCTTGTCCTTCTAGAGTTTAATATTTTGCTTAAAATTTAGAGATAAACTAAAGAAACAGACACAAAAATAATACAAATTGTTAAGGACAAAAATGAAATCAATGAGAGCAAGACATTTAGGCAAGTCCAAAAAGACAGTACATACAAAGGTCCTGAATTTGTTCATATAACTTTAAAAAACCCAAAGTAGCTAAAATATAGTGAACACAGAAAAGGAACCTGAAAAGCCAAGCAACGGTCAAATTATAAATAGTGTTGTTTTCATATGGAGAGACAGATTCAAGGGCGTTTTTTTTGTATTTTGAAATTTCAAGTTAATTAAGACTAACATGGTGATATAGTAAATTTACTTGATATAGTTCTTCTATCCATGATCTTTATAACTCTGACCAAATAACTGGGTGGGACCAAACAAATAAGACTCTAACACGGGGATTAGTCCGTTTTGCCATTCTGCTGGGTTTCAAATGGGCCATTGCAGAAACAGGAATGGGGATCTCACTATCAACTAGAAAGAAAAACCACAAGTGGAGCACGTCTTTTGGACACAAAGACCCTGAGTGGTGCGGCAGTGATGGTGGCAGAGAAGACAGTAACAACAGCTGCACAGAGAGATAGAGCAGCAGGCTTCCCAGATCACAGACTGGGTGAAACTGAGTGCCTTTGGGTAGGAGGCTGGCCTACAGAATAGGAGTCCCTTTGGGAATTTATCCACATTGCGAAAGGAGCTTGTAACACTTGCCCAAGGAGGCCAAGGAACCCACTGGCTGAGAGGTCGAGGACCAGAGAGGGTATGCCTCTAGTAAGGCTGAAAAAAGGTACATCTGAGCAAAGCACTGCTGTATCATGAGTGGCTTCTGGCCCTCAAATGTACCCCATTAACTTGCCTTATAAGCCCCATAATGATATTGTGTATCATTACTTTGTGGTCAATGCAATGGATTATCGAACTCAGGAGAAAAGTACAGTGCCTTAGGAAGGATAACAGGTATTAGAACAGGATAAAGAAGGTTGGAAGGGGAGCAAGTTTGACATCTGCCTCAGGGGAATCAGCCTTGGTCTAATGTAGAGTTTGATTCTCCTTGTCTCTTGTGAAGGTGGAGGTGGTCAGAGACCATGCTATTTTTTTTTTTTTTTACAATGTTACTATATTTCTTTATCCATTTTCCTGATGGAAAACCAACACCAATTTTTGTGGTGTAACAATTGCTTAAAACAGGTATACAGATATTGACATTGTTAGTCATCCATTAAAGGGATTCACTGCAGGGGAAAAAAGCATACACAGATATAAATAGTTTCACAAAAGTTGTATTTACACAAATGGATTTTAGTTTTGGGGTAAAACAAGTTCAAATTAAAGAACAGTTTTCTTGATGTTCCCTAAATGATGCTTCTTCAGCAATTAAATAGACCAACTATTTGGATGTCTGATGGACATTATCAGTTTTTCTGAACTTCAAGAAATATTTTGGGGGAGAAAGACATTATTCATAAATCAAAAGGAAAGTGCACTCTAACTAAAGAGACAAGTGGTAAGGTTCTTTTGAAATCTGATGGATTGTACGGTTTCAAGTTCAACAGAGACTTGTAATACTTTTCTTCACCTTTAACTGTTCTGGAAGAGTTAGGAAGTTTTTTGTTCAAATCAGAGCGGTTTAATAGGAAATTTCAGTAATTATAAAGTAAATTCTTAGAAACGGCCACATTTCTATTTTTTATTGAAGACATTCAAAAATGCTTAAGTGTGAACAAAGTTTTTTATGCAATGGCTAAAAAGCCATGTTAAGATATTAAAAAACAACTGTGCAAACTTATTTTCAGAATGGTTATGAAATATAAGACAATGCTTACTTGTTTTCTTCAATGCTTAGTTTAGCAAAAGAGAGGCAACTTGGTAGACCTAGGTCAAGGGAAGATGATTTGGGTGTGGCGGAGCGGGGGTGGGGTGGTAGTGTCTTAAACCTTAATTAACCAAAAGATTGTGGGAAGTATGAGAAGAAGCGCTGAAAGTTTTCAGTCAGTAGGACTGATGTTTCCTATTTAATCTATTTTCATTCATGGCAGGCCAGTAGTTATAAAATTATTATATTACCAAAGAGGAGGTCCAAAAGAGCATTATAAAGAAAAGCCTAGGAAATAGATATTGCTCAGATTTATTAAGGAATCAAAGTAGAAGCACTAGAGACTTGTTGATTTAAAAACACACACACCAAACCAACATAAAAAACCACCACCAAAAAAAAAAAAAAAAAAAAAAAAAAAAAAAAAAAACCACTATCTTTAGTGGAATGAAAAAGTGGAAAAGCAAAGCACATCTATGAAATTAAGAGCAGGAGAAATGATACCAATTCCTGAAGAAAGGAGTGAAAATAATTTGGCAGAGGCAAATGAGTAAGACAAAAAAATCTGTGATGGTCTAGAAAGCTCATTGGAAAGACACTATACATGAAGAGATTCAAATGATTTTTTTAAAGAGAGAGATTTAAACAGGTTTAGTACCTCTGTCCTCAAAGAAATCATATATGCATGGCTCATATAAGCATGGCTGAACACAGAACGTGAAATTCTAGTCAAACATAACTAAATCCTAAGACTCTCCAAACAGGAGAAAGAGAGAGAGAGCATGACTGTAAATGGAAATACAGATGCTGGAGGGTAATGCCAAGCACTGAAGGAAGAAAGCACTGTTTTCTTTGTAAAAAGTAAAGATATTTAGTAAAGTGAATAAATTTACTAAACATCTTTAATTTTGAAATTTATTCTTTTATTCTCTTTCATTTTATTTGTTGTTTGAAACTTTATTTTGTGAAATCATAATAATTTACTAATCTCAATCCATCAGTAAAAATTACACTGAGTCCTATTTTTAGCTATGATAAACAAGGATGTAAAAAGTTTAGCCTATATACATGAAAATGGAATGGAGACCATGCCATTTTTGCACACCTATTTCTATCAGGAAAGAATGAGGGCATATCTTGAGGGAAGTTCTATATCTTCTGTGCAAGAAAAAAGAATGTTAAAAAAAAGGAAGGAGAGGGATTTATGTCTGTAAATCTGGTGCTGGCAAATTGATACCATTCTTCTACCGTTTCCATCAGAGTCCTTGTGTGGTTCTGCAGGATAAAGTACTGGACTGCATATGAGATGCACAGTTGTCAGTTCAAACCCACCAGCCACTCTTCCAAACCCTACACAGGGTTGCTATTAAGTCAGAACAAACTCAACAACACCTATTTCCATGAATTACGAGGCAGAGTTGTTGTCAGGAGAGTGGGGATAAGGCATAAAAAACAGGGATGAAAGAGACATGTAGAGCACGTAGATCAAACTAAAGAGAAATGTAAGATGGTCGAGAGTGCGGAGTGTACATCTGAGGTTGATTGTGGTTGTTGTTGCGTCAAGTGATTCA